TGAACAGCATACGGACACACATACAAAAGTATAGGCGAACATATGTGATTGTATCGCTTTTTAACCATTTCACAATTGCATTGTTTCATCCCTACAGTAGAAGGATGGTTAATACTGTTACGTACAGAATGAAACAACCTGGCTTAGGAAGATGTTTTTTTTTTCTTTTCGTTGAGGTTTTATGTTCTTTGTACAACATGTGTTTAGTCCAGAAAGATGGTCTTACTGTTGGGAGATTGCATTCTCTTTGCATGTGCACATGCCTAAAAGGGAAGATAAGATTGTATGAGCAGTGGTGTTTGTTACGTTGCATAACAGAAACATGAAACTGAAGTCATATTCATGACATTCAAGTACCTGCTGGATATGATCATCTTTACTTCCATATGTTAGTAAACCAGTAAAATCCTTGATCTATTATCTACATAATGGCACATTTTTATTTAACTATATAAGGAAACATTTTGGTTGGGCGTGATACGGAAGCGACGGTGGAAAAACTCCTCAAGGTTAAACATGTTTGAGTATATCAGCAGTGGTAATTGATTTAAAAAAAAAAAAACTGCACTTGTAACTTTTGGAAAAAAAAAGTTGCAAACCCTGTGAAGATGAACACTTATTTTTGTAATGAGACAGTAAAAGAAATGTTCATTCCAACGAAATTGTATCAGCGAGACCAAAGAAGACGCTAACAGCAGAAGGACAAGAAAGGACAGGCTTGAAAGCTGCTCGATTAAAATGACAGTACTCCTGAGGAGGATCTCAAAACCTTATCATTCACTCTATCCAACAGATCAGCTTAATCAGTTCATTTTTGAAAGCATGTGTCTTAGGTTATCGTAAACAAAAAAAACGTATTTTTGTCAAAATATGAATGTAGTTTTACAACACTTTAGCTCATTTCTATTCATATTTATTGTAAAAAATGACTTGATTTAGACTAAAAGCCAGCCAGATAGGACCACTTACTGTCTTGGATGAGTTTATGTATTCGAAATGTTTACTTTCATTATGTCAGTCTCTGGCTCCAAGGTCATGCAAACAAAGTTTACTCATATAGAGAATAGAAGCAGCTGCTTGAAACCCACGTCATGCCGTGTTTGTTTAAATCCACCTTTGGAACTTTTTTTTTCCCTCCAGAGTATTTGATATACAGCTTGTGTATAATAGGAATACATTAAAGCAAACTCAAAGGTGCTGGTCAAATGAAAAACACAGAATTAAGGTCAACCTAATATATACAACATACATACATAAAATATACAATATGGAATAAAAATGCCTGTAACAGAAATATATTGTTAGCCCGAGAGCTGGGGAATGGTACATTTATGAGTGTATTAAGGCAACAGTTGAGAATGGTGGAGATCCCTTGCAAGTTTGGGGGCGTAATCTCTTCAAGTTGGAGATTTGGTCAGAATTAATGGTTCTCCTTAATGTTGAGATCCATGTGCAAACATCTATCCATTGTGCAGTACATCAGTGAGCTGCATGGTTAGCCACAAACTATTCCGCAGACCTTGAACAACACAGCTAAATAGAGCAAATGTAATTAAGGTATAATTGTCAGTGTAAAGAAGTACGATGATGGTACGTACCGCCCTGATATGAACACCATGTCTGTCTGGGGTTACATGAAAACACAGGATGTTCTATCAAAAAAAAAACAAAACAACAACCCTACATCCACACAGGTGTTGTAATTCTCCTAAATTTTGGAACAGTTCATGAGCCGAATTACCTCAAATATGTGCATGTCTACCTGGAGGAATACTGTATATGCCCTTTAAAGGCAAAACAGTCCCACCCAGAAGATTATGTTAGTTAGAAAAACCTTACAGTAAGTCAGTGAGAAAAAAAAAAGTGAAAATGCATAAAAAAAACATTACACCTATTTACAATTTAACATGTAGAAAAAAAAGTGAAAATGCATAAAAAAATTACACCTATTTACAATTTAACATGTAAAAAAAATAGATTAACACCGTCCTGTAAAGGGGAAAAACAGATCCTGAATGTGCTTTAATTTGACCAAGAAAAACATGTTATAAAATATATTACGTCATGATTTAAGCAATATTCATTCTTTTTCAGCATTCAGTTTTTTCCCCCCCATTTTCCTCTCATTGCTCCTTTTTAATAACCCATATTCTCATAATTCTGAAGACACAAAGTAAGACCGAGTCTAGCTCTTCTTTAATTTTCTAGTTTTGTATTGTACCTTGTAGAGTAGCTGCGTGTTGTTAAAGCATCATAATGGTCAGGCTTTAGAAAAAATGTTTTATCCTCTCTCTTTTCCCCTGTGCTTGTTACGTCTTTGGAGTCGGGTTGTTGTGATTCATGTAATATCCCATCTCTCCCTTTCGGACAAATTATGAACCATTCCCCTGGCACAAACTCTAAATGTGTGTTATATAAGATGATGTGGCACATAGGGATTATCATGCTGCTGCCTTGAGCCAGCAACTGGACCTCAGCAACCGGTGTACAGCTCTTTTGTGGGCATGGACTTTTCCCTGTTATTCCTACTTATGTTTTATGGAAGGAGGAGATCAAATGGGGCGTTGGAAATAAATCAGTCACCACAGTCCCTTCAAGCAGTGGCAAAACAAAAGATGAATGTCCATTTTAGACGTCAAGATGAATGTCCATTTTAGACATCAAGATGAATGTCCATTTTAGACGTCAAGCTCGACATGTACAGTAGTTTGCCCTGGATATAGTTAAAAAAAAACAAAAAAAAACATTGTTGTTTAACCGTGTCACCGGATATAGTTAAAAAAAAACAAAAAACATTGTTGTTTAACCGTGTCACTCTGGAGGCAGTTTTGACATCAGAAAAAGAAAAAAATCTGACATCTTTCTGTGTTGTCAACAAATGTAGTTGTTTTGCAGCTGTCCGTAATTATTTTGGTCTACCATGGTATCCACTGCCTCAAATGCCCCACTCAATAGATCAACCCACTATATCAGTGTGCATATTGCAGATATGGAAACTGGCCCCCGTAATTTAGTCGTGATTCAAGTTAGCTCGCACTACTGAAAGGGCAACACCAAACACGCAGTAATCACATTAATCAAGCCTCTGATCATATTTTGTTTAAACTGCAAGATCATGAGCACGTACTTGTGTTAAACCCAAGGTCGTGTTTTCAATTGGCTGTGCACCGACTACCTAAAAAACAACAATTTGTTGTACAATTATTCAATATTCAATTAGGAACCGCAAACAGAGTTCCCACATCCAGTTGTTAGGATGATGAATAATGAAGAAACTAAGCAACGCTGTTTTTCTGTTAAGTCGATCGATCCATTAATTTTCTCCACAAATGGTCGAAAATAACAGAAAATCACCCAATATTTGCAACAATTTGCAAACAAATTGTTGGTTAGGATCTGAAATATTTAATTGTTTAACAGGAAAATAAACAGCATAACCTTATGAAAACAGTCGGAGAACAGGAGAAAACAACTAAATAACTTATAATAATAATAATAATAATAATATAACTTATAATAATAATAATAATTTTAACTTGATCCCACACTTGGGTTATTCTTGGGTTAACAGCAGACCTGCTGCAGCAGGCAGGCACCAAGTATGTGGTTCCTCTGGGAATCGAACCCAGAACTACCTGCTGTCTGCTTCCAAGGCAGGTGTGCTGAGAAAATTGGGGATATTCCAATGTGCCAGCTGGTAAATGTGAAAAAAAAACCAACAAAAAAAAAAAAAACCAACCAAAAACTATCACTGCTTATCAGATGCAAGAGACTTTGAACAAAAAGACTGTGATCAAAACATTCAAGTATTCAATAATTGTAAATTTAGTATTTTCTCGTGGAGCCCAAAGTTAATAATAATAAAAAAAGTTTGGAGTGGAAGTGTGACTGATGGATGTATAATTTACCAGTGAAGATCGACTTCCCACTGGCATTAGAATGTCACACTGGTATATCGTGCCCATGACCTGGAAAGCTTAGAGTCCGAGCCTAGGGGGGGAAAAAAGAGCTTGACCCAGCCATCAAAGCTGAAACTGCCAACCACTGTCCCAGATGGTACTGATGGACAAGGTTCAAA